GAGAGAGAGAGAGAGAGAGAATCTCGCTGTGCTGCTAGCTCCTGAGAATTGCACCCACGTGAAGGGTTGTGAGGGCCTGGATCGAGTAAACGTATCCAAGGAAAAGCTGTGAAGTGTGTGAACCTGGCCGTGCTAGCTCTGATCGAGCTTCTGGCACGGCCAACGGGAGGCACTGCGCCGCATCTAGCTACGCAGCCAGCTCACATGACAATGCGGGCAGACCAGCTTGCTTACGTGGCGACCCAATTGTGGGAGTATGTCAGTGTGTGTGTAACGTGCGTGTACGTGTGCCCATGCTCTCGTGCTTGGGCGAAGATTGTGCTACATTGACGTCCCGGGGTAATCATCCAAGCAGCAGTGTGGCCTGTGACGCACGCGTACGGCGTGCATCTGTACTCGTGCAAGGGAATACAACCAAGATGCATATGGTAGGTAGTAAGATAACTACACGAATTAGCTGGGAACACTTGCATCACGTGTGTGTGACTGTGTACGCAGGTTCCCATTCGGTTAATTCCCAGATTTATCTTGTCCCCCCGTACGTGTGGCATTCTCTCTCCGTCTTTCCCACTCTTCCACGGGCATGCAAACCTTCCCTTAAACAAATTAAGCATGCACTAGAGAAGCGCGCGACAGTTCAGACAAAACCCTAACCCGGCCCTCACTCAGCAGGTTTTAGGTCACCACTCACCAGCACAAAAGGTCATCCATCGATCGAAAGACGGCACGTAGACCATGAAAAATGGGAGTATTCAACATCTTTGCCGCCTGGGTGCGTGCATGCATGCAATGCCGAGACCAGCGCAGATTTGTCCTTGGCAAAACCGTGCGTGCATGCATGTGTGCGGCGGTGCGTACGTAAGGCAGGTATAACGAGCGAGCAACGGGAGGTAGTAGCAAGTACGTGCGTACATACCGTGAGAATAGGGTGCCGCAGTCGCAGCGGTACTCGCGGGTGCCGCAGATCTTGGAGTGCGCCTTCCAGTCGGACTGCACGGCGTAGCGCTTGGCGCACTTGTCGCACTTCCACTTCTTCTCGCCGTGCTTGCGGCAGAAGTGCTTCTTGATGCCGGTGAGGTCGCCCAGCGCGCGGCCGGGCTCGTGGTGCACGCACGTCGGCTCCGGGCACAGGTACACCCGCCGCCGCTGCACCTGGTTCGGGTCCTTCTGCTTCAGCTTCCACGGCAGGTTGTGCCCGCGCCGGTGCAGCTGCAGGTTCTGCTCCCGCTGGAACCCCTTGTTGCACACCTCGCACACGAACCGGTTCGTCGCCATCAGCGTCTTGGGCGACAGCGCGATTACCTCCGCGTCAGGGTCTGCATGTATGTTATGTATCAATGCAACATAACCAACTCAATTGCACATCTGATATCGATCGATCACTAGAATTAATGTAGGTAGTGAGCAACTGAGCATGCATAGTAACGGTTGTGCATTAACATGCACAATGAGCTTGAAATGGTAGGGGCACAGAAGTTGCCATGTTTTGCAAACAAGTACTAATGCGTGATAAGGCAACGGTGCGCGATTAGCTTATGACTAATAATGGTGCATGGTGTGAGGGAGAGAGGTAGCAGGTAACGTACTGCTGGTGTTTCTTCCTTTGGTTTTGGTGAGGAAGGGACAAATGGAGGCAACAAAGGGGAGAATATTTGCATGAGACTTCGGGGAAGAAAACACGCAAAAGGGCATTTGCAGCAACTAATATAGGGAACAAAGGAATTGACGACGATCGCGTCATGGCCCCTATACTATCTCTGTATCTCTCATAATTGGCAAGAGGAACAAGGAGCAAAAGGGTGAAGAGGATAACAGCTCATGTACATGGAATCTTGCAAGAAAACTTTTATTTTTTTTCTCCAATTTGAACTGGTAGTACTCGTGACCCGTGAGTCCGCACTGACAGTTTATTCCAAGGAATTTTACTTGGAACGCACAAGGAATTACGTACGCAAACTCGTATATCTACCGAGGTTGGAATGAGTAAAAAAAGGGAATAAGAATGAACAGGATGAATACTAGGAATAATTAGGTTTTCCCCTAGTCTACTATTCAGGTGAGACTACAAGCAGCTTTAAATGAAGTATACAGTGAGTAAAAAGATGTGACGACCACATCCAGCATGGTTTGGATCGAGGTAGCTCACGGAAAAAATTCACTCGACAAGGGGCCGGGAGAGAGAACTGGAACTGAAGAACATATGGGACCATTTTCATTCCATATAAATCCAGTGAAAACAAATCTTGGGCTCTAACGCAACTCCTATTTAAGGAGGCGTCTCTTTCTGTTGTGAATCGAAATTTCGAAATCAAGAAACAAGGGCCAGATAAAGTAAGATCGACAGAAGGAGAAACCACAAGCCCTTGAGAGAGTTGCCGTTCTTGCATCTAAGATCTCTCCGATGGAAACTCCTAGCAGAATGATCTAGAAAAAAGTCCTAGCAGTTCCAAGCGAGGTCCGCTAGGAGATGCTATGCATGCACGAATGGAATTGCATGAAGGGCAGTTTCTTATCATACCTGGCATGGTCCTCTTCTTCTTCACCGGTGGCGCCGCCGCGGCCGCCTGGTCTGGCCCCGCCGTCAACAGCGCGCTGGGCGGCGCGACGACATGCTGCCGCTGCTGCTGGGCGAGCAGCGGCTTCATCTGGTCCTGCTGGTGCCCTTCCCTAATCCCGAACAGCGCCGCGACAGCCGCCGCCGATGAATTGGATGCCATCGCCGCTCAGATTCACCCTTTCTGCAGCTGCTCACCGGCAACAGGGTAACCTTTCCCTTTTGGTAGCCCGGTGTTGGAACTAGCAGCAAATTTCCCCTCACTTCAAGAAAAAGCAGCGCTTTCCATGAGAGACATGCCAAGAACAAACTCAGGAAACGTGCAAAGAAGAAGAGGCCAGAAAGCTGTCCCTCGGACGAGGATGGAGGAAAACACCAAAGATAAAGGTAGAGAAGGCGATACCTATCTCATATGTGTGTTTGTGTCTTTGCCTGGCCGGAATCGATCTGAAGCTTGGACAAGAAGAAGCTGGGGGGGAGGGGGAAGAAGAAAAACTCCAAAGGGTTAGGGCTCAATCGCGGAACGAGGATGAACAAACGAACAAACTCCCGCAGTGAAATCCAAACCAGCAGTTGCACTCAGAAACAAGCAAGCTAGAGCGGGAGGACAAATCGAAGCTCGCAAGCACCCAAACCCACACGCGCGCGCACGCAGAGAGAAACGAGGGCTTTGTTTCTTCCCCATACCTCTCTGTCTCCCCGGCTCTTATCTATCCCTTGCGCTGCTGCCGCATGCTACTAGCGGCTACTAGTCGTCTTCTTGCTTGCTCTCGAGACAAGGGGGAGAAGAAGAAGAGGAGACGAGGAAGAGGAGGAGGGAGAGGGTATGGAGGAGGCTAATAAGAAGGTTGCTGTCTGATTCCTTTCGTTCATATCGTTGTCATGCTTTTCCCTATCGCCTTTTGCCCCCTCCTTTCCACACTGGCTACTGTACGCTCCTCTGCTACGCTCCTACGTACGCCCGCAGCTCTTTGTCACGGACGGCATACGAGCATACGGAGTAGAATGGTAGTCTGGTGTATACGTTGAATGTACTGCTGTAAATTGGGTTTGTAATCGCATGTACAGCTCAGAGAAATTAAGGGAGTGAGTACGAGTGAGTACAGCGGCACAGTCGATGGAGTGGAGCGAGCGAGCGTCGTCGAGCGGCTGTGGAGTGTGGACCATGGGTCCACCGACTGTGGGGAGGGGGCTTGCCCGGCGGGCGGGCCCCGCGCTCACGCACACGGGTCGTGAAGCGGCTGAGGATTTGGGTCCACCGACACTAGCCGACGTAGGCCGACGCACCACGCACACGGGCGTTGGATTTATGTATGCATCACAGCTTGTTCACGTCTGGATATGTGCGATGCTAACTCTACGCACCTTAATCACGCCCGCATGCATCTCAACCAACGGTTCAACAATGGTCAGAGACCAAGGACAACGGCACGGCTGTAATAGTTACCTATCCGTGCACCATCGATTTACTGGTTTTTTTTACGTATTCACTTTGCCTCTAAGCATGTCCATACATCAGTAAGAGAGTAGAAATATTTGCGGGTAATATACGGGACCACCTATACGGTAGTCATCAATATAAGAAAAATGCTTTTAGTCGATTTTATGAGAGCCGTCCGATTGAGCTCCAAGGGCACTCATGCTTTCTTCCTCCTCTGGGTATCACTGTTTATCTTCTTCCTTAAAGCATAGAGACGATCTCTTCCCCTCCTTTCCCCTGGTCCGCCCTCCCGCCTCCTCTCCTACAAGTTCTCACACACATTGGACAGAGGTCTACCAACACTCGCATGCGGACCACCTTCCTCACCTATAGCTTCGACGCCACGACCCGCGGAAGACTTCTACCTCCCCATCTCAGGCTTGCGGATTCACCCTTCTTCAACAAAATCGACAGCTGTGATTTTGATTTTAAGGCAACCAAGGAATAACTAAAGCGTCCGTTTATAAATATTAAGATGATATCAATTACACTCATCCTCTGCAAGTACACAAATATCAATAATAGGTCGAGATAGCGAGAATGCACTCGGCCAAGAAACATTAAAAATAAGTGAAAAAAGCAAAGACAACCGATGCATCAAGCAACTTGCAACAAACAAGCAACAACACCATCCGTCGTCCTTGACAGCAAACGAGCTACGAGGAAGGTTCCCGCGAGCCAACCACTCAGGGTCAGATATTGGGTTTCACCATGAAGAGCATGTTTGAATAGACTCCATAGCAATGCCTTCAAAAAATACACATATTAATGATATTTTTCGACCGGGCTATCACCCCTTTCCATTAATTTCTTAATAAAAATATTTTCAGTACACAGATTAATGATATGTTGTGGCTTTTGTATCTCAGTTTGTCTACATTTGCAAGAATAAATATACATGGGTTAATTTTTTTGAGCTATATATACATGGGTTAGTGGTAATAGGGCGTACGATGCTATAGGCTATGGCTCCTCAATCTGGCCTTGGACACTACCAAAACTGAGCCCGGTGGAAAACGCCCCACGGGTACTTTAGCCAGAAATGTCACGAGTGCGCCTAGCTACCTGCGCCGAGTACCATTTGGCTTGGCCATAGGCAGGTCCAAGCAGTCGCACTGGTACGCATGGATGGCATCCATGTCTTTTCACTCGCACGGGCACCACAGATTTGGACAAAATTTGGTTCTCCACACCCCACAGCCACAGGTAGGTACGTACGAGGCCGTGAGCTTCGGGAGGTGCCATGCAGTGCAGGCGTAGGTACGGGCTCGGTGAGAGACCTTCGTCCGTGTCGAGTCCATACGTCACGCTGTGACTGCATGTACACATCGGTCTCTCTATCCCCGTGCGTCGCCTCGTCGCCGATCTCGGCGTATGCCGGCATGGCCTTCAACTCCCGTTGAAATTATGTGCTCTCCCGCTCGGCCGTCGTCGTTGATGGAGCTCCACGAAGTTCACGTGCGCTAACTCGTTCAGTAATGTGTCTCCTGTGAACCTCCGCAAACACAGAGATCGGGCTGGCCATGAAAAACCCAGCTTGGTACGAAACTTTTTAGTTAGAACTCGGAAGCAATTGCCTCGTATGATGTACTCTCTCCGTTGACCATCGTAAGATGTTTTGGATATGTTTCAGTACGGACTACAAACGAAATAAAATGAGTGAACAAACATGCTAAAATGTGTTCATATACATCTGATTTGGAAACATGTAGAATATCTTATACAGTAAAAATTAACAGAGGGAGTAATAATTACGCAAGAAATAGTTCACCAGTTAATTATGGAAAACGTGACTAAAACCGATACAACTGCCCCACCATCAGGGTACCACCGGCCGACCAAGCACACAACAAGAGACGTCACACACATTGTTGAGAAGAAGACACCATCAACATGACGAACTAACGAATTACTCCACAAAAAGGTCAACATGTATGGAGTCCCCAGGTAACCGGGTAAGGTTTAGTGTCCTCTCGGCGTTTCATCATAGCTGATTCCTTATCCATGGCGATCTACCACTGCCAAGTTCCCATCGGTCTGCAGATCAACTCATGTTGCCCCCCCCCCCCTCGCGGCCGCCTTTTAACCCTCATGGCCTTGCCCCTTGCCCAAGGGTTTGAGACCGTGACGGCGTCGTATTCTGATGCAAACTCATCCACGAACATGGGTTCGCAGTGAGCAAACCTTGGGGACCTTGGTGTCTTCTTCGACAAACTTGATTTTTAGAAGATTATTTTACAATGTATGTGATCGTTGATGAGGAGGAGCAGGAGCTCTAGGAGGGAGTTTGCTTACTAACCCTAACTCGAGTGCAGACATATACGTCCTTCAGTCGAGCGCCTTCTTCTGCGAGATGCGTGCTGCGTAGAATCTCAAACAAGGTTCCACTTTCGGGCGACCGGGGTCAACTTGCTCATCGTGCAAGTCTCATGTCTCGGTAATTGGGAGTGGGTCATGGAGCAAGGATTGCGGTTCTTCCACTTCTCGGAAATACTTTTGCACCCATACGATAGATTCACCAACAAAGAGGAAGTGACGACAAATTCCATGCCTATATGGCTACGAACCCACAAGCTGGAAGAGGGCTTTTGCAAGAAGGAAGTAGTGGAGAAATTGATCAACAAAGCTTCAGAAAGCCAGGAGATAAGGATCTCTGATAACACTAGGGGCGATTATACATGAGTGTGTGTTCGTCACGACATCCACGAGATGCGTGCTGCATGGAACCTTGCACAAGGGGTGCACTTTCGGGCGATTTGGGTCAACCTGTTCATCATGCAAGCCTCATGTCTCAGTAATTGAGAGCGGATCATGGAGCAAGGGCCACGGCTCTTCCTAGGGAATACTTTTGCACCCACACGATGGATTTACAAACAAAGAGGAAGACAAATTCCACGCCCATATGGCTACAAATCCACAAGTTGCTAGAGGGCTTTTGCAAGAAGAAACTAGTGGGGAAATTGGTCAACAAAGCTTCAAAAATCCCAGAGATAAGGATCTCCGGCAACACTCGGGGTGATTATATATGAGTGCGCGCTCTTCATGACATCCGAGAGCAGCTCACGAAACACACTAGTATTGTCAGAGAAAAGGAAGAACATGTATAAAATGTCAGGTACGAAAAGCTTGCATGGTTCTATCAAGCATGCAGGGTCATTGGTCACGATAAGTAGGAGTGTGGCTCCGGTGTCTATGAAATGAAAGATCTAAAATTTGGGGACTGGCTTTACATTTATCCACCAAGTCTCATAATAACCACCTAATTATACCATCCAACATAACACTACCTTGCATTCTCCTTCGCATCTCCCACGAAAAAGAATCCTTAGGGCACTATCACGGTTGAAAAGTTTTATAAATTAAGGTTGGAGTTGTCAAGATCTATCAGCTAACAAAATTAAGGATGGGTAAGTTTTAGCAATTATGGTTGAAACTATTTATGAACATGTTACAATCACCAAGTTGTCCACAACTGTAGACAAGACTATTCAAATAGATTTAACCCTACAGACTGCACGAATGTACCCACACATATGATCGAATCTTGATGCCTTGTGCCAAAACACATATTCCGTGGAAATCACATGTTCATTTGGATATGTTGGTAGAGAGATCGATTCTGCACTTTCAAATGCAACAAAGCAAGTCCAGGAAACCACCCAATTGAGTTTAATCCTAATCGG